CCAGCCTGCCTCACCATGGTCTTCACCACGAGCTGCAGGGGAATCTTTGCTCCGGTGCCTGTAGCACCTCCTCCCCCTCCTTCTTCACTGTCCTTGGTGTCTACAGAGTTGTTCCTCTCACATATTCTCATTCCTCTCTCAAGCTGCAATTGCTGTGATTTTTTTTTTCTTCCTTCTCTAAATATGTTTATAGCGCCCAGAGGCACTACCACCGTCACTGATGGGCTCGGCCTTGGTCAGCAGCGGGTCTGTCTTGAAGCCGACTGGCATTGGCTCTATCAGACATAAGGGAAGCTTCTAGCAGCTTCTCACGGAAACCACCCCTGTAGCCCCCCACTACCAAAACCTTGCCAGGCAAACCGGATACACAGTAATCTTGTTTCTTTTTGTTGGTGTTCTCTTTTTCCCTATAGGTAAAAATTCACACGAAGAACTCTTTATGTCTTGCTCATTATAATCCCCCCCATCCTCTGTTAGGAAAGTTTTGAGGACAATCAATATTGGAACAGTTTGTTAAGAGAGAGTATTCAGGTCTTGCCTTTGTTAACCAAACCACACTCACAGCCCAGCGGTGTCCTGGTGATTTTATTCTAACTGCTACGCTTGATTCTTCACAGGATGTGGCGGGCCACTGCGGAAGACATTGTAATGAAGAGGCAGTGATTTCAGGCACAGACTAGGCAGAGGTTAACCACAGGCCTTGGTGGCAGAGACCTGTATGTTAATACGGGCGACAGCTACATAACCTGAGCACATACTGTGGCATTAGCATGCACCGCCTTTAGCAATGCCACCTGTATGTACTGCTTGTGAGAGCTCGCTCCTGTGCAGATGTGTAAGAGCATAATGCGCTCAGCAAACCTCGGGGTACCACCTAGAAAGCTCAATATTGCACAGTTTTGTTCACTTGGAAAAATACTATAAATATTATAAAAACAGATATCCCATAACCATTTACTAAATTAGTTTTAAGTAATTTTTCATGAACTCTCTTAACGTTATTCTCTTCCACCTGTAGTTCATTTTTAATGTATTTATTTGTCTTTCTTCTGTCTTAACAAGTGGTTTCCTTATAAAAAAAAAAGAGATCTTTAGTATAGGTTGGACTTATCCAGTGTTCCGGGGGAATAAAAAATTATTTGCAAAATAACCAGTCTTCTCACATTGTACTTCTCTCTCTGCTTCCTCTAATATCCAACAATAAAAGCAGCTACTCTTCTATACTGTCCTATTTATTTAACTGATCACTAGCTACTGCTATTGGCTTGTCGTCAGTCTTGTCCAAGATCTTTATTTTGCTTAATTTAACCACCTTTTTTTCTTGTTGCTTCTCTCAAATGCCAATCCTCTCATGTCATATATAATTTGTCTCTCCTAAAACAGCCAAATTATCAACATAGCCAAAAATATAAATCAGCCTATTTCCGTTCGCGCTTATAACATCGCAATAGTGACAGTCACCACAGAGCACTGGAGACAGTTGTCTGTCTACCGCAGCCGCATCTGACTGCCAGATGGTGTGGATATTTAAGTCCCTGTGGGTATCTTTCTTTTGTAACCCATAAACACATCTGCATCATCCCAGTAATTCCACCAGGGTTCCAGATACTTCATTGCTTTCTAAAAAGCCATCTTGACGATATGCTTTCCTAAATCTGTAAGAAAGTGTGTTTGTATTTGCATTGTATTCCTATGCAATATCACACAGACTGTAACAGCGTTACACAAAGGGGCCTCTGGGTGGTGGAAGTAGCCATTTAGCAGAGCTGGAAATGACCAAAATGGAGACCTTTCTATCAAAAAACCCCCAACCTACCACTGTAAAAAAAAGTAGAAAGCACTTAAATGAACTCCTTAGTGATGGGCTAGACAAAAGCAAATAGCAAATGGCCATTTTTGAGCTAGCTGAGCTGTTTGTGGAAGAATTATATTGTGAAGACATTCGAAAGGCAGCCAAAATCCTCAGGAGCAACCAACAACCAGTTGCTGACAATGTTTCCAGGGAATGATTTAAAACAGGAGATGATAAGCTAAATCAAAACCTTTGCTAATTAGTTGCACTGGAGAGCTGAAAACATTTCCAAATGAGAAACACAAAGCAGTCACATGATCAACCCTTATAAACAAGTGGATGGTGCCTTCATTCCCATGACAATCCATCTGTCTTTGGTACGTTTATAGACGTTTTCTAATTTTACAAAGTAAAACTGAAAAAAAAAAAGATGTTAACAGAAAAACAAGTCCAGCGTGTATCTAAAATTTTTGTTTCATCAACCACTTTAAACTGTGCATCACGTATCTAGTATTTGGAATAATTAAAATACAGTGCACTGTATTACACTATCTCTGCTAAACAGGTGTGCCACCAGGAAATGTCCTGAATAAATGGATTTTGGCATACCAGTATCTGTGTAGGGCATACTATTGAGGAAGCTTCATTTAGGACATTTCAGAAATGAGGCTGCTCACATCACACTGCTTAAGCAACAATAAATGAAATGCAACTGCCCCACATTATCATACATAACATTATCAATAATTTAACTCCCTCCTCTATTTTTCCTCCTTATTAGGAAAAAAAAAGTTTACTTTTACTGATGTCTAACGTGCACTATCTAAATAATGTCTCTACAGAATGTAGACTGTTGCCCAGGGCTATTTTATTTCACTGCTTAAAGCTAAAAATAAAAGCACTTATGTCAGCCTTCAGGTTTTGAAATCCCCATTAAGCATACTCTTTAGTATGAAAATCATGCATGAAAAGAACCATCATTTTTTACTTTATCTCCATTTTAAACTTTTGGTAGGATTTGCTAATGTGAATAGTATTTGAAAGAAAATACGGATTTATAACATTTCAGACTGCAAGAAGTCGAAACATCTCTCGCAACAATATTTAAGTACTTTTAATAGTGTTCTATTGTTCTCCCTGTCTGGCATGTAAATTTGAAATCTCCCTATCATGTCACCTTGCTTTTAACCCTTTTTTCCATTCTTCCAGTCTTTTTGTGTAATTAATTTTTTCTTGACTCTTAATTAATCTCCTTTCCAGTCTTTCAGACAAGGCTATTCTTCAGACAAGGGTAAAAAAAATCAATGATGTTCTAGACTGAGCTTTTTGCTGACTTAACCAAATGACGCTGTAATCATTGCTAGCCCGCTTGTTACCTATCTAAGCATGTTTTTATTCATCTGCTTTACCTTTTTGCCCACCCCGGCACACTGAGACAGAATCTTCCTTTGCACGTCCCGCAATGGTGACAAGGAGCTGTTTGAGCCCCCCCACCCACTCTGCTCCATAACTCAAACTTTTCAATCATGTTATTTTTTTCCCCTAGCTTTCTAAGATCCCGCTTCCATGCTAGCATTTGTCAAATTACTCATTTAATCTTTAAATTCTGTCATGTCCCTAATAAATATGATGTATACAAATAATGAATACTACTTCCAACATTAAATAATGGGACTCCCCCATTTTATCAACGTAGCAGAAAATTATTATTTTATTTATACCTTTCATTGCACATTTCTGAGATGATTCCTAAATGTTCAGCACACTCCATGGGGGTTACTAGTTTTCTTAACTGCCTTTAGTAAAGAACTTTGTCGAAAGCCTTTTGAAAGTCCAAATAAACTAGATCAAGCATTTCTTCCTCATCCATTATTTTGATGACGTGTTCAAAGAGTTCTAAGAAATCACAGAAGGTTTTCTTTCAGCAAAGCTACCCTGCTTTCTTTTAGCAAAATTTAATCTAGAGATTTACTCTTAATTCTATTACTGATGATGTATTCAATCCATTTAGCTAATACTGAACTCAGACTTACAGGCCAGTAGGATAATTCTAGTCTGTTGAAAAAAAGCAACAAAACCAAACCAAAAGCCAAATTTTAACATTCAGTTTTTCAATAGGCAATTAAGTGCTAATAAAATTTGCATCAGCTCAGCCCCTTCAGTTCTTATAAACCCTGTTTGTAGTCAATCAGCCATCTGATTCTGCTTTCTTTTTAGTCTTTAAATTTCTCTTATTATTTCCTTTAATTGCCTCAATTTAATATAATATCTCATTTTTACTAGTTTAAAAGTATAGATATTTCATTGCATTTTCTGTAGCAGAATCCATGTAAATAAATCTTTCAACTTCTCTGTAACAATTCCTTCTAAATCAACTCTTTAAAAAACAGCAGGTCTGCTGATATTTTCATGAGGTTTTCTGCTTCTGATGTAGTTGAAAAAAATCTTTGCAGTTTGTTTCATCTTCAGCTATAAGGTCTTCAGACCGCCTCTTAGACTATACATTTTCCATCTTCCATTTTTCATGCCACAATTTGTTTTCTGTTTTAACAGTTAACAATTTACCTGGAAGAGGCTATATTTAGGGTCAAATACATGCTTACCACTCGCAATTTTTCCCATTGATTTTTAAATATTTTTCTTAATAATCTGAGGCCGACTCACCATTTGAAATCCCATTCATGTGTTAATTCAAAGAATTACTATAATTAATTTCAAGGTTATAATAGGACACTCACTTTACTTACCTTAATTACAAGGACTGACAATGGGACATCTAATTATTATCACATATAGCAAAAATTTTGCAACTCAGTTATAAACAGCATCAAAGATACAAAAGAAACAGTATAAATCAATTTTAAAATTATGTTTTTACATCAACTATTTTGATTAGGAATTGTTCACTCATGTACAGCTTTTGTAATGTTTAATTTTTTGTTAGACCAAGTTTCACTTTTTTCCAACTATGCATTGCTTTTATATCTCTTCCTGCCACAGACAATTAGAAAATATATTTTTGTATGTTCTATAAAAGGTTAATTTACAATAATTTGATTTTACTATTTTCCTACCAGAATAAAATGATCCTAATGTTTCCTTTCTTCCAGAAAGCTCTGGCAGACTTTCCCCAGTCTGGGTAGGGTTTGTCCTGAAGCATCATATCAGTGACCTACAGGGAAAGAAGAAATAATACACAGTTAAACTGGTGTCACAAAAGAAAGTACTAACACAGACTTTACGAACACTTTATTTTATGTATGACACGCCTGCTTCAGTTCTGATAATTTTAATAGTTAGACCGTAGAAAAATAGTATCTCTAAGTGTTACCTGCAATCAAGATAAAGTATATTGGCCTACCTATTCTGCCCCTAGAAGTGCATGCAACTCCTTGAGAAACAAGGAAACCTGTGGAGATCCAAAGATAAGAAGAGGACCTAGTCTAAAAGTTACAGCAACCTACAGTACATAAGCTACGTTCCCCTATGGCTACGAGGCTTTCCATTCCAGCCTGGGAGAGGAGACCCACTTCCCTGAGAGCAGCATCAGCAGAATTTCCACTCTTGAAATCAGAACTGCAGCCAAGGAGTGCAAGCCTGTGAATTAAGCACTATATGCCATTTATAATCTCCTCTTGCTTCCTGGTATCAGTAAGAAAAGCACACTTGGGACTAGAGACACAAAAATCCCTTAAAACTTGCACGAAATTTAAAAAGTATGAAATATTTATTCTTATTTTCATAATTCCTATCCAAAGAGACCATCTGTTTCTCTGTCCAGAGACTCATATGCATGCACTACTTCTGGGTGGAACACAAAAGTATTAAAAATGACTTTCAGCTAAATGAGGGAGGTGAATACCCCTCAGGCGCTTGCACTTTTGGGAAGCTGTGTTTTCATATCCATTTACTTCAAGTTAACTGTACTAAAAAGCACCGAAAGTTACATTACAGTAAACTCTCCGTTGTGCGAAAGATCCAGAAGAGTGGAAAACCTACCCATATGTAAAGATTAAGAAATAATTGAACAGATAAAGGAAAGAGGGGTGAGCACCTGTTTCAAATACAGATAAGTAAAACAAATTCTTACTATCTGTCATTGGTATCAGTACACAGTGGAAAATTAGGAACTGTTTTGATTAGTCTGAAAATAACTCTTAATAAGATTTCAGAAGGAAATAACTTCAAATTGAAGCCAAGATTTCTTGCTTTTATTTTCCTCCACATGTATTTTGATATACAGAGTTTTTAAAACACAGTTTACCATCCAGAGTGTGAGCTACCACTTTCAATCAACGACATTAACAGTGTTTATCGAAAAGAACACATGGACCATGATTAAATTAAAACTACATATAAATTACATTCAACTTCTAAATTTTGGTTCCAAGTCCATTTGGGGTTAAAAGTGCTCAGCATATTAGCCTGAAGGGCTGGGTCCAAAGGATAATGAATATGTTAAATAAATAGAAAAACACGTTCTAGGATTTTATGATTCCGTTAAGCCTAGCCTGAAGAAAGAACAGGTTATATCCCGAAATGCCATCTTTACTAATAGTTTTATGTAGGTAAATCTTTTCTCAGATCACTATGCTATGATACTTTTTTATAAGATCCCTATTATCTAAATAAATATTTTGATAAATATTTAATGCTGGACAAGACCTCTGTAAAGACTTAATCCACTACTTTAGTAATACCTTTTTCTCTTAGGAAGAGTCTACATAGTAATGAATATCTGCAAAGAAGAACAGATATTTCGAGAGGTTTTATTCAATTTTCAAAATATTTTCTCCAGACACTTTCTGGGAAATACTTATTATATTTCGTAGAAGGACGCAATCTGCTGCTCTATGACCAATTATTGGAGTAACATGTTTCATAAGAATGACATTCAAGAAGGAGACATTTTCTGAGGAAAATGGCAAGATGAGGCAGGAAATGTTCTTTCTGATATCAGACAGTTGGTCTTTCATCTCCCAGCTTTGGCATTTATTTAAAGTCATTCCACCAGATCAATGTCAGGTCGGTTGCAGCTAAATTGGCTGAAGCAGAGATAGTCATTAAAGGGATGCATTCTATAAAGAGAAATCCAATTACCTTTTGCATTAAAGAAATCAAATTCATTTTCTGGTTTGGTCAAGGACAGTCACTGTGGAAAACGGCTCACGGGAGAAAAGCACTCAACACTGTCATAGCGCAAATAAGTTTTAGATAGGAACATCAAAACCTCATTGCTGCTGTTAGAATGAAGTTTTTAGAAAAATAAAAAAATATAAATTTTAATTTAATTTGCACAACTTAGTATAAAGAGATGCATGAGTGCATATTTTTTCTCTCTCTTTGTATTTCACAATGCAATTACTGGCCAGCAAACATTTCTCTCTTTTTTACTGGACTATTTTTGAAAACACTGCAGATACTCAGGAATAAAAAATAATTGATCACTCCAGTAATTCTATGTATGCATGCATCCTACATAATCAAGATAAAACAGGGAAAGCCACTTACAAAGTAATTAAGTAATGTATTTTTTTCTTGAACTAAGAGATGTGATATATTTTAATCAATTAATTACACTGCTTTAATTCAGGAAGGAATGGCCCCTACCTATAATGACTGTATACTCTTTCATTTTATTTAATGTCTCATGAGAGAAATCGTTACACTGTATTAAAGTGCACATTTGTCTGACTTTTTAAGTTACACACATGCCACAGCAAAATATTTTCATAAAAAATTAGTATGCCTTGTATATATTACAGAATCTTAAATTTCATTTTGCTAAATAAAAATATGACTTTATTGACTATTCATATTATTCACTTCACATTAACTATGAAGAAAACTTATAATGCTTTTAAAAAGGAATATTACTATCATTAAATTAATAGCAAAATGTTACAATTCACATTTTTTTGTTACAGAACATTAAATCGTTCCTTTTGATCTGATATACTACAATAATTTGAAAAATTATGTCAGATCATATAGATGAAAGAACCTGGGATTCTTTCATGGTCAGAGCAAATAACTTACACAAGCAACAAGTGCAGAAAGCAAAATTATAAAAACTCAAAAAACCCCAACAAAACAGTAAGATACCTAAGATACCTGAGATATACTAAGTGGAACAGTAAGACACCTTAAGGATCATTTACTCCTTACGTGAAGTTGCTCTTTGAGTGTATTGCTCAGGATGCTCAGCACATACTTTAGATGTCTCCTCCCTAGACAGTCATGTCAAACGATGCTACGTTGTCAGTCACAGGATCCTTCCCAGCAGAGGCAACGTCTGCAGTGGGAGTTTCAGGTAAGGCTAGGTATCTTTTCTATTAATAAGCTAATTGCAAGTGAAACTTTCTTTAAAAAAAAGAAGAAAATGACCTAATACTTTGGTCATGCCTTCAAAGTATCTTCCAAATTCTTCACTATTAGGAACTATGCTGTCTTCTTCAGAGCGCAAACTGATCATTCCTGGAAAACTAATGTGGCACGGGCTGCTGGCCAAGTTGTTTTCATCTACCAAATTGCATTTTAGAAACCTAGAAGTATAAAAGTCCATCAAATCGTTTCACAGCAGCACTTCTCCACATAAGAAACTGCAGAAACTGTATCTTGAAAGAGAAATGGACTCTGGACAAGCTCTCTAGGATGCAATGTATTCTATGCTGTAACATTCATTAAGTAGAGGCCAACCCTCAGTGACGGATTTTCATTGCTTTATTCACACTTGGATAAATCATCAAAACAGGGTAAGAGTAGCCCTCCAGAATTTAACAGAATGTAGAAGAAGCCAAGATCCACAAGAAAAGCTTGGGAATACAAACCAAACGGTGAACTCTGAAATCTTTTTTATTATTTTGATACAGCAATGAGCAGTGAAAGGTCTAGTGGACAGTAGGACTCCAACATCTCATATCAGTAAAGAAATTGTTCATACACAACTGCTCAGCCAGGAGGACAAGACATCATGGTGCTATTGCTGGAAAATGGAGTAGCCTGAATAACTCTGCATTTGGCAAAATACATCTTTCTACCACTGTCAAGTACATGACTCAAGTATTATAAGTGTTATTTTTTTCTGTTTTTATCATTTTACAATTTCAAAATATCTTATTTTAAATCATAAACCTCTTCATAAGTAGCACGAAATTAATTTAATTTGAAACTCAGCCTTTAAATAGTTCACAAGTAGCACTTTTCCACTCTCCCCAAACTCTTTACACAAGAAACATTATTTTCAGTCCTGCAAGTGAGGAATTTAATTGATAAGAATGAGTATCATAAATTCTAAAAGTTTTCAGAAATTGTAAGGATGCCATGGTGTCGGGGCAGGTCCGAGGGCAGTTTCCCAGGGCAGGTGCATGCACGTGGTTTCATGCAGCACAGCGTTCCTCATCAAAAGAACCCACTGATACCTTTTGCAAAGACTCAACAGTGCTTATGTGTTTCTGAAAAGTACGTGGTTTTTTTCTAGAGAGTGGGGCTAAATCAGGTTAAAGTAATTATGTTTCCTGAAGTCAGAGTGTGAAGTCAATGAGAGCTAATGTATACCACTGAGTGTATACACTCCCTTCGCTTTGCTGTTATATGCTTTTAGGTAAGAGCTATATATAGGTGTCCCACTAACTACACATCTATTCTTTATCATATCTCAGTCTTCAAGTACTATACTACATCATGGTAATCATATACCAAACCAGGGAAACATTTAGTATTCAGTCATTAAAAGCTTCTATCCATCATTTTTGTCTTCATCTTCTTTGAGGTATTTAAAAACTGCAGAGCTGTTCACTTGATGTACAAAAGTAACCTATATGGAAAATGCTTTTATGCTTCTTTCATCTGGACGTTAGGGAGAAAACCGTTTTCCTGATCCACAGTATTTGCACACATGTACCGTCTTACATCTGGATTTCCACCAAAACCAGTTAAAGAACTTCTTTTGTACAAACACTGAGGGGGCTTATATTAATTATTGCCGTCTTTACTGATCCATGCAAATTTATTTCTGCACCTGTTGAGGAAGCAGAAAGCCTCTTCTTTATTAGCCAGCAGATCTTGATTTGGTTTTTGAATATTACCATAGCAGTTTCTGCCATAGTCACAATCCATGCAGGGATAACAACTCAACAAGATGACAAGAATGACTAAAAATATATACACTTT